ATACCTAATTTTCCAAGCAACTAATAGTAACTCATCTGCTAGTTACTGTTTCATTCCAAGAAAGACTTCTTAAGAAGATCCCAACATTAATGCTTCTGTCTCAGCATTTCATCTCCTACTTTCTAGGCTTTATACCTTAAAAGCAATTTTTGCCAAGCAGATGATTCCCTAAAGAAATGATCTTACCGCCACAGTTTCACTTCTTCTTGTGACATAGATGCGGTCCTTGATGATTCTTTGTAGAAGTTTTTCTCAATTGGAGGCAAGTCTTCAACAATCAGAAAAATGAACTTGAATCAGCAAGAAGTAATATAGATTCAGTGCTAAAGCTTAAGATGGAAATTCCCAAACCCCGACAGTGCCTTAAGCTAGGAGACTAGTTAAGTGATAAAGACTATTGTTCCTCATATAAAAGATGAAGGTTGAGACAAACACTTCAGTATCTGCAAAAGAGCCATCTCCGCACATTTCAAGTTCTAAAATAGTTTCTACTAACACGTATAGTCTAATATTTAACAATTCTCAGATTTTTTTTTCTGTGGCCACATATCAAATAACATTATTTTCAAGGGGTGAAGTCAAAATGCCAATTGAGTAGCAGGTTTAAGTCTTCCACGACAATTACAGTGTTCTCCACGACCATACTGAGAAGTGCTAAAATGATCACTTCACTGCAAATGCTTAACTAGTTTGGACAGTGAAAGATTCAGTTATCTCAAAGCAAGAATTAAAAACATGTAAGCATTCAACAGATTTATCACATAAAGACAAGTATCACACAATCAAAATTTATAACTAACCTGCCCACTTCATAGCTTCATATTTGGCTCTGTTTTCTCGAAGAGAGTCCCAGTTAATCACTGATTTCTTTGGGTTATTTTCAGGCTTGAAGGTGTCTAAGATTTTTCCTGCAAAGTTAGTACCAAAATGATGCTGTTTGATGGAATCTGATGCAGTGTGTGGGAGAAATCTCTCCCCTTATTTTCTTTTTCTATAGTAAGTCCTCATATATTTTGAATAGGCATGAAATATATAACTACAAAATTGTTTCCTAGGTCTCTGCCCTGAAATATTGCTCAAACCTGTACAAATTCAGTTCTGATAAAAAAAGGGAAACATTTCAACCTCTTTAGCTACTTAAATAACGTAACAACAGGTTTTGAAATGCTGCTCCTCCAGCTATAAATAAGCCTTGTTGTGCAGCAGGCTTTTGAAAAACTTCTGAATCCGGTAGATGATATGCAGACAGAAAGCTTTAAGAGCTACAAGAGCAAAGTTTACTTCAAAAACATCCAACACCACCACAATAAAGTCTGAGTCTTGTTATATTCTGTACTTCTTTGATGAAGCAAGTCAGAAAGTAAGGTTTTACACTGAAGATATGAATGGCAACACAACCATGTGGAAAATTAGTGGAAAAGCAGGAAATACAGGGAAAACACAGTCACACATACTAAGGAAGTCTTAACTATTTCTACTCTTGAAACATACTCATCCACCTTCTGAGGCACTTCTAAAAACAAAACAGAGAACTACCCCATTCCTTATTCTAATGCTGGAATACAGTCCTTGGATAACTTCTCCCTCATCAGTTCCTCAGATCAACAACTATGGATGGTGTTTGGCTGTGCAAAAATTGTTGGGAACACATACACGACATACCAATAATATAAGCAGCGTCTCAACAAAATAATTACTTATATATCCATATAACAGACAAAGTTAACACAAGAAAACCCAGTAAAGCCAGGCATGAAGTGCAACATCAAATCTTAAACATGAACTTCCCATGAAAGTAGTAAGATGTCAGCACTGCCCATGCTATGATCAGCACTTTACAGACTACCATTACAAATGTTTATTGAATTTTAGTACCCCACAGATACTACATTAAAGCTTACACTAGAACCAATACAGGTATTTTGAAGGAATCAGATTGATAATGCAAGAAACCAAGTGGTATAACATTCTGCATCCATTAAAATTGTTGAAAACATACAGGAACAGATTTTCATAGAAGCCTGGCATTTGGGGTGAGAGGAGGGGAAAACTGACCATAGCTGAGAAAGATGGATGTCTAGGTATTTCTGTTTTAAGGAGGTATGCCTCTGCCCCAGAAAAAGGTAAAAGTTAATTCACTTCGTAAAATACTAATAATATAAAAACATCCACCAAACTACAAAATATATGGACAGACAATCCATAGTATTTTTCCCCCCAAAACCACATTTCTTGCCTTTCTCAGTCCAAGCTCTGTTGTTCTGGCCAGAACTTGTAACAGCATTGTCAATCAACATCTTGGCTTTGTTTTGCACATCAAGACTGCCAAAAATCTTTACTTCAGCTCCATAGGTTCCTCTTGTAACCTGTGTTCACAAAACATTACTGAGTTTTTTTAATACTGCAAAGACTATATAAGAACATATACTGAAACAAGTATTTTACCCTTTTTTACCACAAATTTAAATTCTCCTCCCAAGAAAAGGCCCCTTATTCCCTTTTCTAAAAGAAAAGGAAATAAATGCATACTTAAGGAAAAAAAACCAAACTAATAACCTTTTCCTATTTTCACGTACCATTCAAATTGCACTCTCAATTCCACTTCCTTTTTACCAATTCTTGTAAAACAGTGGAATTATTAAGCTACTGAAACACCCTTCAGCTTCCTGCAATAACTGGTTTACATGGAAACAAAACCAAGTATGTTCCCAACAGAGCCCAGGTCTTGATGACACATAGCACAAGGTACCTTTATCCTGGAACCTGAAGAATCCTCAAGTTCTTTAATTTTAGTTCCGCCCCTACCTGTTATAAAGATACACATCAGGCATTACAGAGATTTAGGACAAACTGCCAAAAATTACACATTAAGTATTTTGGTTGTGACCAAAACCCAAGACCTTTATAGGTGCATGAATCTACAGAGAAAAGAACTTTTGACACCAAACTGATGGAATATGTAGGTAACTTTTTCTGTCAGTTTAACCAAACACGAGGTGTTTGTGTAGGAGAAGGCTCCTCAGTTGAAGAGATGGAGCAGTTAAACTAACTCAAAAGACTGCCACCCATCCTCCATATGACCAGAGAGTGGCTTCAGCCCACTTGCAGACTGCTGGTCACGAGAAACAGACGTCAAACCAACTACTCTAGGGAGAAAAAGTTTCCCTGGTGCTTGGGAGAAACCCTGCAAAAGCATCCTGCCGTGGGTGGGGCCCTTCCACGACTGGAGCTACGGAAGGCAGGCGTGCCCTCCCTCGGGACACAGAGGTGCTCTCCTCCTCCCCACTCCCTGACGGCAGCGGCCCAAGCACCCGGGGCGCAGGGGCGTACTCGTCATTACCTATGAGAGCCCCGACCAGGGCGCTGTCGAGGTGGAAGCACAGGGGCGCCTCGGTGCCCCGAGCCCGGCCGGCGGCATCTCGGGGCCTCCATTGCCGCGCCGCCCACCCCGGGCCGCCGGAACCCTCACCACCTCCCGGCTCCCACTCCTCCCCTGCGGGGCCGCCCGCGCCCCTCCCCCGCCGCCCGCAGCCCCTCCGTCCCCCGTCGCCCTCGGTGGGGGCGCGGCCCCGCGGAGGGGTGCCCGACGAGCGGCACTGTCGGCCGGCGGCAGCGGCGGCCCACGGCAGGCGGGGCTCAGCCCGCTCTTCCTCGGGGCTCGAGTCCCAGTCGGACATGGCGACCACCCCCCGCCCTACGCCGCTCACGCGGCGGGATTTGGCGCGCCTCAGCCGCGGGGCGCGCTGATTGGCCCGGGGCGGGCCGCTAAGCTGTGATTGGCTGGCTCCGCGCGGGTGGGCGGGTCTATGGCCGTCCCTCAATTTCTTCAGGGAGTCACAAAATCACGGGATCAATCAAGTTGGAAAAGTCGTCTGTGATCGTCGAGTCCAACCTGTGACAGAACACCACCATGTTAACTAGACTATGACACTAAGTGCTATGAACGGTCTTTCCTTAAACATCTGCAGGGACGGTGACTCCACCACCTCCCTGGGCAGCCTATTCCAATGTCTAATCAGTTGTTTTTTAGGCAGGGTCCTCTACCTCTATTGTACGGAGCTGAACAGGAACATTTAGCTCTGTGTCTTTAAGGATGCACATCACTGCCTGTGCCTGGCATGGCAATGTGCTGAGTAACCCAACAGGAAAGACTTCTCACTGCAGTCTTCTGACCCTTCCCTACTATCTCTGCACACACGAAGCAAGGCTGCCTCATTTAACACAAGAAGAGCATGCATACATTTACCTTTTTTCCTGACCTGTGTTTATTCTTAAGGAGAGCTTGCTAGTGTTCACATAACCTGTGGGTACAAATGGACATGGAAATCTCCTTTCTGGCAACTGCATCTTTAAATTTCAGTATCTAAGGTTCCATTCAGCAGAGAGGCAGGAGATCACCTGTACTTGGAGGTGTCTGGCTCTGATTTTGAAGCTTCCGTAGAGGCAGTAACTTCACTACAGCACGGACTCTCTATATTTAGTATTTTATACTCAATTAATGAAGGTTGTCTTCAGCAGGGCTGTGGGAAGAGCACACTGGGGAAAGAATATGTGTCGTGAACGATTGTTTTAGATTTGGTGCAGTAACATTCTAGAGCAACTTTCATGGCTGAATGCAGAAGAAAGGGCTTCACTTAGGCCTCAGGTTAAACTGAAGTGCCTTCCATGAGGAATCCTGCTCCCTGCACAGGCCCCTGATTGCTAATCTTGAATCAATTGCCATTTTTCTAACAGGGAAGGCAATAATAACTTCCACACTCATTTTCATAGAGGTGCTGCAACATTAAGTAAACTTTGCTGTAAACAGTTATCAGAAACTGAACATGTCAGACTGGTTCCTGTGCATTTTATTCTAATGAACTTCCTTTGTGATGTTCATTTAATAAAAAATTACGAAACTTCAAAAGGAAAACAATGACCAAGTTTAATTTTTTTTTCTTGCTTGATATGTGGTCACACCAAACAATCTTTTATGTAAGGAATAAAATGAGTAAGCATGGTACTTTTCAAATCATTTTTATTAACAACAATATGGATTCAACTTTGTCAAGAATTTACAATTAACATTGTAATGTACTGGCTAATGTTGTTGCAGTGTCAGTGGAAGCAGCCATCGTGCTTTCTAAGCCTGCTACAAAACTGTCTTTTGGCTTTCAAAGAAGTCAAAAATTCTTCCAATAGCAGATGATATTGGGTATGTCTGGAATTGTCCTATGTGTGACCACAACTGAATGAATGGCCACATTTGCATCCAGATGAACGGACAGGAAAATATTGCATGATTCCACTGACATTGCAGGGGACAAGTCTTATTTCAAAAACTAATTAACCTTTTTAGACAGTGACAGGACGCCGTGTAATGTTGTAATCCACTTGAATTAAGTCAATTAACACACTTGGAAAAAAATGTGAAGCAGAAATATCTGGGACAAATTCTTTTCTGACCTGTATTTCATTCAAACCCAGTGAATCCAAAAGGATTGCATGACATATGAGTCAGGATAAAAGTTGGCCCAGAGAGACAAGTTCATTTCTGGTATATGTGGGTTCAGTTCCTTTAAGGTCAGTGGAACTGAGCCTGGTTATCCCAACGGAGGCAGAGCTTCACTCAGTTGGGCAATGAATGCATTGAAGTCAGTGAAGCCATCCAAGGATGAATTTAGCCTCAGGTGTTTAAACCCTTTTTTCATTCCTTTGCTGTTATGTTTTCCTGCTTGCTCCAATTTTCTGATTATTCTCTGTGCTTTTTAAAATTGTCCCTTCACTTCTTCCCTTTTTACATCAGTACTTTGTGCGTTATTTTTTATATAGTCAATGTGACATGGGTAAATTCAGCTAAGTATTAGTTTCCTCAGGAAATAACTGGAATATTACCATTTTCACTTTAAACAGATGCCCAACAAAATCAGGATTTGAATCTGAGTTCCCATTTCAAGAAAAATTCTTGAATTTCATAAAATGAATGAATTCCATAGAATTTTTGCTTGAGTAAGGATTGCAGGTCCCAATCCAGAAATACTACAGTACATCAGATGGTCTACTATACATCAGCCATTCAGCATGATTTGACTTATCACAAAAGCAGGTGAATTACTCATCACCATACTATAATGAGAGCAGTCACTCTAATAGGATTATCTCAAAAACATGGAACAACTGTGGGCACTGTGAATAAAAGTGTATGATCTTTGCAATGTCGAACCCTAGGCTAAAACATCATATTCATATTTAAATAGAAAGTATAGATAATATAAGCCAGGAGCAAATACAAATTCTTAAACAAATAATAGTCATCAAAACTATTCAGTCCTCCATTCAGGTAGAAGAACATGCTGATCAGAAAACAGTTATTTGGATAATGCTTAATTCCTGAAGCTTTTACTTAAGTTCGAATTCTCTCGTCCAACAATCCTCAAGTGGATTGTAAATCAGAAAAAAAATTGTCTTTTGTCCCGACTCATGAACACTTCTTATTAGCTGTCATGAGCTGGATTTTAATAAGCAGCTCAGAACAAGACTTGAAAAGCCAGACAGGCCCTTCTTTTGTGAAACTAATGAATGATTGTCAGTCATGACACTGTCTTTCAAAGAGAGAGCATAGAAACAGGAAACTCCTCATGAGGAAATATAAGTAAAACTTATAAAAAATCCAAACAAACAATTCTTCCTCTTTAAAATTTCATATATTCACTACTCTTTCTATTTCCTATCAATATTATGTTAAAAACCCCTATATGATAAGACTTGCAGCTGCAAAAATAATAATGATGAGCATAAAAGAAAACAAATTAGGATTTTAAACTATAATTTGAAAAGATATGATCTTCTAGATTTATTAGTACTTTGTAAAGATATTAACATTTTCATACATCATTTATAGAACTTATTCTTTTGTGCACAAAGTTGTATTAAATAAATTAACTTAAAATTAGAAGGATTCAGGCATGTCATTTAAGGCAAAAATACCAAGTTTCTGTGAGATAAATTATCAGCAAAACCCAAGGCCCTGTTTCTGTGTGGAATTGGTACAGGCAGGGGCAATGCTCAGTTATCCCATTGATGCAATGTGATGCAATCATCTGCTTACATAGATGAAGGTGGAAAAGTGGTGTTCAATTCATGATGCCTTGATTTTTCAATCTCCTCAAGGAGGGGAAGGGAGTTTCATTACAGACACACGATTGCCATGTGCCCAATCTCTTTCTCCTTAACTGAACCCTAACTGCATATTTATGCTTAGGGCAGCAGGAGGCTTCATGTGAAAGGCAAGAAAGGCACCATAAAAAGTTAAGAAAAAGGAAAAGAAAACTAAAAAAAGATTGTAAGTTTTTAAATTTTTGATAGTTTAAACTTACAGATCTGTCCGGATAAACTGCAGACATTCAAATAAGTTAATAGTTAAGTGAACTGAGATGTGAAAAAAAACGTATTTATCCTCACAAAATTACTGTTGTAATCAGGCTTTAGTATGATCAGATTGCAAGTAAAGAAAACAGGAAAGGCTGAACGTGGTAAATTATATGGCAAATCAGCAGTGAGGAAATTGTGCTTCAAGGTGTCTTTCAGGATTTAACAACTGAAGTTTGCTCCGGTGTAAGCCATGGAACACAGTGTACCGTCCGTGGACCCCATATAATGACACAATATATACACTCTACAGTTTGCATGTACTTTCACATAATAAAATTGTCATGTAACATCCAGGAATACTTCTTTAAAGGAAATATGGAAGCAGAAGTTACAATGGATTCATAGTAAACAGATCAGGTCCTTCACAATACAATCTACAGCATTTAGCCATGGTTAAGACTGGAGTGATGTTTTTGATGTACATAGTAAGTTCCCAGTGGGTCTGGGCCTTGAGAACACACTGCCCTGAGTGAGCTGGCACTGGCACCCCCATACATTCAGTATTCCTGGTGCTAGAGGGAACCTGAGCCCAAACTGGGTTGTCTACAAGCCTGTGGTGCAGGTGGGGTGTAAATCTGAGAGGAGGCAACACACAGAAACTTCATTCAGCTGGGAAAGGCAGCAGGCTGTTTAGGCTGCGCAACGGTTCTCCCAATAGGAAAGCATTGTTGGGGATGTGCAGAGAGGAACTAACACTGCTCCTGCATCTCAGCAGAAGTAAAGTGTAGGTTAGGGTAAGAAAAAAAAGAGGATGCATCAGGCAGGAATGCTCAGTTTGATGTAGGCTTTGAATCTGAAAACTTGGGTATTCGGAGGAAGGAGTCTGAAAGCTCTGTCTTGGAAAGTTCACAAAAAAATGACTGCCATTGGGACACAGTGTTAGGATCTAAATGTTACCACTTTCCCTCTCTCTCCTCATCACCTTTTATTAAAAAAGCAACAAACCCTTGCCTTAATTTTTTTTTTTTTTCAGTTAAGGCGATCTTATCTACTTCTATTTTAATTTCTGATTGCCTATGTGGCTTTTTTTTCGAAATAGCACTCATTATCTGTGGGGAAAAAAAAAAGTACCTTTTCCCCTCTTTACCTTTCTTGTTTTATGGGATAATTTCCCTTCCTGCCTATCTAAATCTGTGTTATTATTTATTTCCACATTGATTGTGTTGTCTTTCTCTCTCCTCTGTTCTGTCCTCTTTAGTTTTACTTTGTATTTCAGTTCCTTGTTTTCCCTCCTTTCTCAGCCTTATGAAGTGCTGTCATAGTATCAGACTGGGACTGCAAGGAAAATTGCCAAATTTCCACAGAAGGAAATATTGCTTCTAACATGAAGGCAGCACCTGCTTCCTTCCCTCACCTATTGCTGCCAAAATGGTTCAGATTCACAAGACAGCTTCTCAATGAGACTGGGAGGAGCGATTCCCCTGAATTCTCAGTGTAGCCACCCGCATTATCCCCTTCTGAGGCCAGCCCCAATCCTTAAAATACAAACTTTTTGTAGCAAAATAGTTTTCTTTTTATGAAGAACAATGTGATAGTGGTGTGTCAGGTGCTTCTGCCACAGCACTAAATTACCAAAAATTGGATGAATGTTAATCTATTGTTTTTCAGAGCTAAAAATAACTGATTAATGATGAGCAAATATGTGTATCTTGCAACTGGCAGCCATTTCTAACCCCGCATTTCTAGCCATATTACTGATTTCCTTGGTACCTTGCTAGCAGCTGTAGATAATTTTTTTGTTGTAAACATAAACTATCATCTAAACCAGGACATTATATATATATATTTAATTAGTTCAGAAGCAAAGTGCTTTAAACCTTACAATTTTTACTTCTGCCCTGTAGCGACGGCACTATGTCTAAATGCTCAAATTTTTGATTTTTTTTTCTTTTTGATACATCCTGCAGCATTAGCTTTGTAGGCAACTCATTATTTTGAACCTACCGTATTTCATCAAAGGCTGCCATACTGTAGGTGTAAATTTGGATGCTAGCCATCACTTAAACATGCATTTTCATGCAGCTAGGAAATATGGGCTCATTCAACTGCTTTGCAGATTCATCCTGATTTTTGTGATTTTATCTTATTAAAAAGGCTTTCAAAACAGTTCATGCTATGATATGTATGACTACAGGAATGAACCAGCCAATGAAGAAAGCCAGCAAGCTGTTATTTAAGTTTGACATGGAGCAGATTGAGTGCTTCTGTACCATCCCCTGGCTTGCAGATGCTTTGAGATGACCTTGATATTCCAGTCCTTAGAGAGTCAGCAGAGAGAGTTGTTTCCACTAATGGGCGTGAGATGGCTTCAGTAGTCTCTGTTCCTGCCTCTGTCTCCAACTCTTCATCAGTTATAAATAATTTCGACTCCCTCCATTTGGAGTATACGTCTTGGCTACCTCTGGAACCACTGGAGTCACTGCCAGCAATCTGTATATTCAGTTCTTCTGTAGACTGTATAAGATTTTGTACAGATAAAGATTTTCCTAAGTCCATTTGCACCACAGGTTTAACTGAGAGCAAAGGTTCCCCCTCTGTATCCAGACTTTTTCTCCACGTGAGATCCTTTGTTGCACTGGGCTGTGCAACTTGTCCATTATCCTTTGATGCAACAAGGCAAGCGGTGACATTGGAAATATTTTCCTGTGTGGTTACAGGAATAATATGAACAGGCTCAGGCTTATTGATATGCTTCATTGATGAGAAAGGTGGTATTTGTAATGTTGTCGGAGTTGCTGGCTTGGTTGCCTGGTTTATTTGGTTTGATGTATTATTAACTGTTGCAGGTCCATCATTTGGCACTTGTGTTGCTTGACTATGCATAGCTGGACTGAAAGCATAGTAAGCCTGAGTGCTAAATTCATTTGGTGTTAGTATAAGCTGTAGGCCACGAGGCAGATTGGCACTAGCTGATCTGGATACACATCCACTAATTTGTGCAGAATTAGATAAATCTTTGCTGTCTGATGGACTCTGATAATCAGAAGTCTGCTCACATTCAAAACCTGGCATTTGAAATGAAGCCAAAGTGAGCGCAGATGCAGATCCTTTTCGCAAAACTTGTTGATAAATATCTAATAGACAGTCCAATTTTGACTCAATGGATTGTACCTATAGAAAGAGAGGAAAAGGTTGACATTAGTAGCAAATACTAATTTAAAATGTTTGGAACCCAAGCAAAGAGAAAATGTGACTGCTGAAGAGAAAAATGAAGAGGTCTTGGTGTATGCTATTGCCCCTTGAAAAAGAACATCAAAAGCCATGTACATTTTTCACAAGCAAGGTTATAAAAGGGACAAAAAGGTTAAGGTAATGCGATCCATATAAACTTTACTTCAACATATAAATGAAGCAGATATTAAGAACAAATATTTTACTTGTTTAGCTTTTGAAACTGGCAATGAAGTACAGAATAGGCATGAGCAATAAAGCAAGACCAAGCAACACAGATAATCACTCTACCTGTTTCTCCACTTTGACTACCCGCCCTAACATACTGAGGTCATCAGTTGTCTCATTCTCTGCAGGATTCTTTTCTCTGGTTCTTTTATCTGCTGTGATTTGTCCTTTCCCAAGAATTTGGTCAACGCTGTAAGAGAAATCAAAAGTTGCTGCAATTCCTGAAACCAGTGATGATACGGAAGTGTTTGCTATATCCATACATTAAAAATGAAAATCACAGTACTTCAAAAAAGCACTTGAAAAAGAAGACAAACATAATTTTATTAATTAAAGGAAAAAAACCCAAAAGGAATGAATTTTGAGCATTTGAGACCGCTTTTCTTTTTTGTTGCCACTAACCAGGGTCCAGAACTTAGCCATCATCTGGGAGAGCCAAGGCTAGACTTGCTGAAAGGGAGAGGGAAGAGGTGGCCTCTCCAGCAGCCTGATGTTGTGGAGGAACAGACATACCAGTGCCACCCTCAGCTTTCCCATCCTAACAACAGCCTCCAGTCCTGGAGGAATTGTGAGTTTGAAGCAGGAATCTCAGCCCTGATACTGATAATGGTAAATATGATAAAATGTTGTGGTGGTTTTTTTTTCTTAATTACTATTACCAGGAATCTATAGCACAAAACCTACATAAATACTACATTACCAGTAGTTCCCAATTTCTTTTATGTGAAAAGAGAAGACCTCAAGTGGGAGAAAGGCATATATCTTCCTCATCCTTTTGGCAGCCTCCTGACTAAATTCCTTGTTTGCAAATGCACTTTACAGATAAAAGATTACCTTTTCTATTGTTCAGACTTCCATTTTCTGAGGACAGTTTAGACACAAGTTTTTTGGTTTGGTTTTGCCCACAATTACATTTCTGGCTCAGCTGTGTTCACAGAAAGAGAGGCTGTGTAACACAGAAATGTTGAACTTTGCTAACATACAGTATGCAGTGAATGACATTAGATGCTTATGCAGAGTAGGACTAATTCTTTCCTTACCGTGACTGAAGACTCTTAATCCTGCATAACATGTCTAGATGACCTGCTGAATACTGTTCAATGACATCTTTGACATCATATGGGCGAAGTGTTTCCTTAAACTTTCTCTTTGCGACATGAAATTTCATAATTCTGTGGGTAAAAAGCATTTCACAGATTAATTTTCAACAGTTGTGAAACAATATGATATATTTCATTGACAAAATTTGATAGCTATTTTTTAAATGGAAGATATTTTAATACAGCTTTTACACAATTGCTTTTGTAAGTAAAAATGTGCAAGTACAAATGCTCTTGTACAAATGTGCTGTAGCTATCCCTTTGAATTGATGTTTAAGAAAGTTCAAGTAATACTACTTTAACAACTGCAGAGCATGTTTAATATATCAGTATATACCTGTTTGGTTTTTATATGTTAAATGGCTAACATGAAATATACTGAACTATATGCCTAACTTCAAACTGGGATTAGTTCCACTGACTAGAGCGGGATATCCTGTAAGTTACATTTGTGCTTACACTACTTCTTTTCTTTAAAGAGAAAAGGTTTCTTTTCTTTATAGAGAAAAGATTTCTCTAATGAGTGGATTACACAAGCATAGCTAATAGTATTCTCTTATTCATTTTAAGTTCTAACTCTCTACTTTGGTAAAAAAAAATAATTTTATGCACCCGTTTCATTCTTCATCAGTTTTTATTTTTTAACTGACATTCAGGCCTAAGAATTTGTTTTTAATTTATTTGCCTGACTTAAGATCAAATTTTGCAGAAGTTTTTACATTTGTTCCCTACTGCAATATACTGAAATAGTTGCTTAATTAGCATTCATGATTTTTTTCATGAATTTTACTGCAGAATACGAAGTTTCAGATAACAGTAAATATCCAAAATTGATGAATGGCATTTTTTTTAATGTGAGAATTTCACAAGTTTATGTGGTTTGTGATATGTGAGCATGTGATGTCCACTGAGTAGCTCTTCTTAGAGTGAAAAGCTTGATATTAAATTGTAAATTTTAAATAATAGAAATGACAAATTCGGAAAGTAAATGACAGCGAGATTATTTTCCAGGTTAGCTGGTAAAACCTGAAGTTTTCCTTGGTTTACATAAGAACTGGAGAAGAGAGAAGAGTTCCATGCAAGAACTAGGAGAGAAGCCAAGGCATCAGGTGTGTTAGCTATTCTGGTGTGTGCTACAGAGCTTATGAATTCCCATTAGAGCCAAACTGCTGATATTTGCTATCTATTGCAATTAAAAAAGCAGAGACAGTAAATTGGTATCCTATTCCAAATGCCAATAGTTCATGCTAATATATTCCCTTTGTGCTAATTATAATATGTATTTGGCAGATGTAAGACAACAAATTGTAATAAAAATCAAAACATGGCTCTCACTCTCTGATAATAATAGATTAGTAATGTTTTAGTGGAATTTAGAAAAAAACATACTTCATGTAGTTAGGAGAGACATTATGATAATAGGTATGTAGAGTTTGATAGTATAGAGTGATCGTCTACTGATTTTTAATCATACATAAATATTCTTTCACATAATGTCAGCCTTTTCTCACAGTGCTTAGACTGTTGATATTTCCCATTCTGGTAACTTTCAGTTAAAAATTGAAATTGTTTGTCACTTGCATAGAGCTGGAACTATGATTCTGATAATAGAAATTAAAAATGGAAAAGGCCTTTTAGGAGTAGTTCATCACCTTGACAGTTCAGGACTGATCTCCGTGCGGTTTTAAATATATCAGATGATGCACTTTCCTCTTTTTGCATTGCCAGCTGGTTCAACAGACCAATGGCCTTTGGCATCTTTTGTAGTCTGAAGGCCTCTGAAGCTAGGATGAATCTGGGATGCCGATTTTATTTTCTTTTAGCTGTCAAATGATGCCAAGATGTTCAGTTCATAAGACCCTGACAACCCAATCTTCTGGAATCTAGTTCTTTATTTAGGTTACAAAGAATAAATGATGTAGCTGACATACAAGACGGTATCATAATTTTGTTGTTGTTATTATGTTTTTGTGGCCACAATTTTTTACCTCATGCTCTTGATACAGTAAAACTATGAAACTCTATTAGAAAAGTAGAGCCATAATTGAACAAAACTGAATTTACCACAACTGAGTGATTTTACAAGAGAAGAGACAGAAGACTAATTTTTATTAACAGCTATGGAAACTTTTTAATCTGCGTGCACAAAAGTCTTCATTACTGCTTTGCAGCTTTGTAACACTTCTTTTTTGCTAATCAAGGCAGTTTGTTCATAATGTTCAGTATTCAAACACAGAATTGAAAGCATCGCAGCTATATCAGTGAGGTGTAACTATACTATTTCTGGTTTAGGTATTAGCTCATGTGATTCCATCTTAATTAACTTAAGCAGAGTTTGGAACAAACCCATATTGCTTACTTCTTTTTCTTCAAATATACAAACCTTTACATAAACTGTGCAAAAAAACCCTGAAGTGTTATAAAAGACTGGCATTTTAAAACCCTGCAAGTTAATTAGGAAAAAAACCCTGAATTCTTTCAGTGATGGAGCCTAGCAACTGCTTTGCAGTTATTAAATTTGGATGAATTTCCATAGTTATTTACTGTCAGTTTTTAAAACTCAGTTGGCTTCCTATATCTTGAAATAACTATGTGATTGGCTGTAATTGTAATCTTTACTGTGGGGATGGTGAAGCACTAGAACAGGTTGCCCAGAGAAGCTATGGATGCTCTATCCCTGGAAGTGTTCAAGGCCAGGCTGGATGGGGCTTTGAGCAACTTGGTCTAGCAGGATGTGTCCCTGCCCTTGGCAGGGGCGTTGGAACTAGATGATCTTGAAGATCCCTTCCAACTAACTCAAGCCATTCTATGATTCTATGATTCTATATGCTTGAACACCCATCTCGATAGATTATTATAATTTTGTAGAGTGTATTTTGTTCCTGTGGGATAAAAACGAAGGGCTCAGTTTTGCAGGCACAGGCGGGTAACCTACCCCTACAAAGAGGAGAAAATGAGCACAAAGTTATGCATACTCAAATTATTTGGAGCAGCAGCCCTTAGGACAGGAGGGACAGGGCAAACGAGCCCGGGTTGTCATTTCCAGCGGTACCACCAGAGGGCAAACAAGACCCATCATATACCGAGCCGAGCCTCCACTGACTGCACGGAACTGCTGGTACTGATCTGGCAGCAGTGACTGAAAGTAGGAATCAAACCCAAACAACAAAGCCCCGTAGTCCCCATGACTTTTTAAAAGATTGTTTGCATGTTTAAATCGCTGTATGACATGTAGTGCGGTGATGTTTTATAACTCAAATCTAATGTGATAGACAATACATGTTTGTAAACCCATCCAAATCACAAGGATGACAATTTTCTGGTAAGAATTAGCCAAAAAAAGTAGCTTGTTTCAGTGATGCATCCAGAGGAAAGCAGAAAAAAAAGCAGACCAATACGTAAAAGCGCTTTGTCTAGAATTAATGTCTAAACCACAGGTCTCACTAATCTTATCTTGTACCCTGATAATTTGTGGAAAGTTACAGGTCCAATACCAAATGTTGTCTTATTGACTCCAGCAGCAAAAAGCAGCTCCCATTTCATTTCTCGGTTCTCAAATGCAGGATCAGCACTGCTCTAAAGTTACAGTGTTTTCTATAAATGCAGGTTGCATACCTTCTATGGCATTCACTGCATTTTTGTTTCCATTCATGTTGACCCTTCCATTATTAAAAGCTATTCTGTCTGTCATTTAGTGAACTTTGCTGAGACAGGCACCAAGTTAGAACATTCCTAATCCTCTGTGCAGCCCTTTCGTACTCATGTTATTAGTTTTAAACGTGTGTCTTGTCAGTCTTGTCACTGTCTCAGGAAGAAACAGAGTTTCATTCTACTAGGATTCAGGTAGAATCATACATAGTTACTACCTTGAATATTAAAAGACAGGTAGGTTGTTTTACCCATAGCCAGATGAGGTGACCACAGGTTGTTTGCTTACCTACTCCATCAGGAAAGCAGGTGCAAAGAGATCTAGCTGTGGTGGTTCCTCTGTCTCTCTATCCTTACCTTGCCAAATAATCCTTTGTCGTGGTAAAACTGCAATGTGCAGAAGACATCAGGATCCAGTATAGAGATGCCAACAGACAAATGTGCTTGAGAGACAGTTCTACTACTTGTGGGGTGAATGAGTAAAAATTGCCTCCTCTCTCAGGTCTTGACCTGGCTAATCCATTCCCTAGAGGCAGAGATATTGTTTTTTCCCAAGCACGGTGCTGTCCTAGCCAAAGACATACCTAAGAGTCTTTCCTAGGCTCTGAAGAGCATCTGGGCAGAAAATATACATTCGTATATTTTGTGTTTGGTTTTAAAAGAAAAAGGGGATTCTGAAACATCACACTGAACAAATTCATAGTGGCTGCTAAAAATACATTTTATAGGTGTTTGAGAAACATTGCAATGACTGAACATAAATGGTAAATTATGTTTTTCATCTTTGTCTATTAAATATGTATGACTATTCAACTATACAGCTTATCAGCTCAAGAACTCTCAAGTTTCATTATGTTTAGCTACATTTATTATTTTTTTATTAACAACAAATGAAAACATATCTTTACAATCACTAAAGAGAGAAAAAACCTATTACGTCAATATGTTCATCTTCCTGCCATTGCAGTTATTTCTACTGCATATTTATTTATGCTTCTCAAATCTTATTTTATATTCCTTAAATAGTGAAGTAATTCCATAATTTCCATTGTGGAAAGTATTATAGAATTGTGTGCCTCTTGCTATGGAAAATGATCAGAGATATCACAATATATGTAAACAAGGTATCCTCTTCTTCCTTTTAGTCTCTTTTTTACACATTCATCATTCTGAACTAACAGAGTTGGAAAATTCAATGGGTTTTGTTAAGTTCCTGGAACTCTGCAGGATATTAGTGGCTGTTTGTTCATGACAAGACTGGGGACAGTTGAATAGTGCTACAAAACCTGTTGGCACAAAGGCTCAGTGTCCTGCTAGCAGAAACTGCTTTGAGCACTGCTCTGATCCCAGCCAGAGGCTGCAGAGGAGTAGGACTGATCCTGCTCTGGCTCAAGGCATGCTGTGGAGCACATAATCTTTCACCA